AAAAAGTCCAGCCTATGACCAAACATTCCCACATCAGCCAGACCACATGTGCCACATCCAGCCTCTCATTAAACCCCTCCAGGGACAGGGACTCCCTCCTTCCCTGGGAAGTGCATCCCAGTGCCTGAGCACCCTCTCCATGAGGAAGGGCTTCCTGAGATCCAAGCCAAACCTCCCCTGATGCAGTTTCAGGCCGTGCCCTCTCGTCCTGTCACTAGCTGCCTGGGAGACGAGCCCAACCCCTGCACCTGACTACAACCTCCCTTCAGGGAGTTGTAGAGATTGATAAGGTCCCCCCTGAGTCTCGTCCAGGCTAAACCCCCCCAGTTGCCTCAACCTCTCTCCAGGCTAAACACCCCCAGTTGCCTCAACCTCTCCTTATAAGACTTTTCCTCTAGTCCCTGGGCCAGCATAGCACAGGCCATGGCACATCCTGCGCCTGAACGCGGGAAACCATGGCTGAAGAAGACCCTAGAGGGGAAGGAAATGCTGGAAACTCTGGGGGAGAGAGAAAGAGGGAATGGGGAAGGAGGGCTGAGACAACTATGCTAGGAAAAGAGAAGAGGGAAATGGTCTCTGGCCAGTGGAGGCTGTGCAGAACTTGGTCATGAGGGGCTGAAGACGTCCGTGAGAGCCTCCCGTCCTACCCTGGGGCTCTGCTACAGCAATAACAACCTGAGAGGCTGCTCAGCCATGCAGCTTTAGGCATGGACCTACAGGCAGCTCTGAATAAAAAAGCAAGGCCGGGAGTTCTTAGTAACCAGCTGAGGAAGCCAATTACTACTTTCAAGTGTGACCTTAACTCATCCAACTCCTACAATAATCAAAGCATCCCCTTAATCATCTCCCGGTCAGAAATATTGTCCACCTGGGGCTTGAAGGGGACACTTATCACCCACTATGCTGGGGACCAGGTGGACTGGACAAGGCGGCCTCTCCTTCCCAGGACGAAGCAGGTTAAACCCACCCGTCAGTTTAGGCAAAACGTGTCCCGAGCAGCACCAGCACGGCTGGAAGGCCATCGTCACCTGACGGGCTCTGGCTTTGGCACCACGCGAACGCCCCTGGGCCCTGTGGCTGGGGCCGGGGGGAGGGGGGGGCTTAGCGGTGGCTTGGGGCAGCGGTGGCTCAGGGCACTTACAGTCACCGTGAGGTTTTCCCAGGTGATGCCAGACATGTTGATCTTGTTGCTCTCCCAGAAAGGCAGGGTTTCATTGCCGGGCTGGGCCGGTGCGTCAAGCTTACAGCTGGGAGGAGATTACAATGTTGATATTCATGTTAGGTGAACTAATTATGGCTCACAGAAGGTCAAAGAACTCAAGAGAAAACAACAACATCAGGCCAGTTTCTGTAGAAAAATTTGAAGAAAATGACAAGGAACTAGGAGTTTAAATAAGATTTTTGTACTGTCCTCCAGGGCAGCATATGGACTTAGCCAGTTTCAGTAGGTACCTGAGGAAGGAGTGCAGAGGATTTTGAACGGGAAGCCCCGAGGTATCGTACGAAGGACAGCAAGGACAGCAGAAAGATTTGGATGGGAAACCTTGAGATACTTTTGCAGGGAAAATTAGCCTATTTTTTTGTAGGAAACTACCTCAGCAAGCTGAGCAGAGCAGTTTGAGTGGGGAGTCCTGAAGCACCTCAGCAAGGTGAGCAGAGGGGTTAGAGATGGAAGCACCGAGGTACCTCAACAGGGACAGCAGAAAGAGTTGCTTGGGAAATCCTAAAGAACCTCGGCAAAGAGAGAAGAGGTACTTTTTTTACTGTGTTTGGGCAGGAGATACTGAGCTATGTCAGGGCCATAAACGCATTCGAATGACAGCTAATACATGATGGATATAAAGAGTAACCCAGCCTAATCACTGGGCAGAAGGATCTGAAGAATTATGTGAGAAATCTAATCCACCCTCTGGGTGAAAGTGTAGCATGGAATAGGTATCCCTTAAAGGAAGAACAGTACGAGTAGAAGCAAAAAGCTGAGGAAAATCTTCGCTGTAAAGGGGAAAAAAGATTGTGGCAGTAATGCATTGTTATAATGGATTCCTAATGTATTTAACATACTACTCTCTTGCACCTCTAGCACTAATCAGTAATCCTCCCCTCATTGACTCTATACAAATTTTCTGCACAGGTAATACATTAGTAACTAGTATTTGTTTACAGTTATATCCTAGAGATGTGAGTAAAATATATTATGGCATTCTTCAAAAAGCCTGTATGCCACATAAAACAAGTAGAACTGTCATGTCACTTTCTATAACTTGGTCTGTGAAAAGCATGATGAAATTCATCAATTCTTCTTAGTCCCAGTGTTAAATACTATATAAGCATATGAATAAACAACCAGAAAAGTCCTTGTTACAGTCCGTGCAAAGTACATATTCAAGCCCAAAGAGCTTTATTCATTTATTTTCTTTAGATAATATTACTCAGCGTGTGCTCACGCCACAGATATTGTCAGGAAAAGAAACCTTTGAAGAATCACTGACTTCCCAACATAAGAGTATAAAGTCTGCCACCACTATACTTTGACTCATCAGTGGTGTAATGTAAGTATTTACACACTGGACAGTTGTTTACTGAAAATATTAGCAACATGGATTTATTCCTAGTATGAGCCTTCTGTTCAGGCTGAGGGTAATTTTCCAGCGTTTTTAAACATCTAACAGAGTACAAAGAAATGTAGGGAAGACTAGTAGTTATCTCTGCAGTGGCAAGGTAATTGCCAACACTTGCCTTTCTCCAGTTGTGGGTTTGATTCTCATATTCTTAACATGTTCACTTCTGATTCTTAAGAACTGGTGGGTATTCCTATATAAGGAATTCCTAAATAGCATTAAAAATAGTGAAGTTGTGTGTGTTAGCCTCTGGCATTTTGATCTAGAGCATAACAATTGTTCTGTTTCTATTAAATACTAGACATATCGCAGTGACATACTGTAAAAAAACCACTCAAGCAGCACACACATTATTCCAAAGCTGAAAATGTGTGTAGCTTCATGCTAATGAAATGTGTCTTAATGTTAATATCTTTGTAGGAAAACTACTACGGAAATAAAGGTAAGAGAATGCTGCTATGGGACCTAGACTGTTATTAAAATGTAAGGCTATTTGCTTACAAAATGCTAAAAATGCCAAATGGAAAAGACCAAGAATAAAACATATTTTTAAATGTATTTATCCTCTTCCATATATGCTGTGCTCATCATCACAACAGTTTGACTAGATCATAACAGGGAATAAATATGTTTGTATCTTTCTTTGTTCACCAAGTATTTCCCTATCACAGGACACTGATGCTAAGCTGGCTACATAGCTATGTCTGCTATTTCTAATTGACTGATTTCACACGAAGAAGAATAAATGACCTCTTTCATATTCCATCTCAACACATTCAAATAGTACTGCTTTTACGCTGAGAATTTACTCCCTTCAAACAGAATCCTTTTGCCATCCATATATTTCACTGTGGGAAACATGAGTTATTATCAAATTACGTGGTAGAAAGAATGTAATCTAATTTTGTGATAAATACAATCTACAAAAGGGAAGAGATAATGTCTTTTCACAGTATGTTTTGAAACAGCAGTGAAAATGATACTCTGAAAATGGTAGATTGGCAGTCTTAAGGAACAGAACTCCTCTGCCTGTGAAGATGATGCAGGGGGCGACCCACACTGTTTCCACAATTCTCCTTATTCTTGCCCAATTCATTTAACACGAACTATTGATAGCCATTTAGTCATTATTAGCCTTTGTTACATTAGACTACATATATGAAAGATAAAATGAGAGTTGTTACTGAATTATCCACTAAGTCATCTTTCCAGAAATCAGTTTTTCATAGCAAAAGTATTTAAGATAAACAATTGCTTCATTAATGTAGTCCTCAATTTTTTTCCCCTTCAATTTTGCTTTACTCAATTAGGAAATGCTCATATTAAATGAGGCCACCTTCTAAGGGTTCATCCCTTCAGGTGACTTGTCCTTATTGGTTTTTACTGAAATCCTCCCACCCCCTGAGAAGGGATTGCTCTTGATTGTGTCATCTCTGATACACAGTAAATCTGCCATTTAAGATGCCCTGTAGAAGGTCAAGCAAGTGAATATCACAGTTATTCTAGATTAGATAGTATTGCACAGTCAATGTCAACACTTAAGGGTGCATAATCACTAAAGAAATGATCTCAGACTATCCTCTGTAAGAAATGAAAGCCTCATTAAATGGAGTAAAGTAGATTTATGCGTCTTGTTTCTTGAGATGTCTAGTAAGTCAAGGTGAGTGTAAAAGTGAGTGGCGATAAAAGTGATCTATTTATTGTTCATCCTAGCCCGTGTCAAATCTGTAACCTCTCTTGTTCTTCTCCCTAGTAACTGATGGTTTGCAGATGTTTCATGGTTCCATAGAAGACCCTTTGAAATAACCTGACACTAAGACCATAAAAAGTTGGTTGCGTGTCAATACATCAGTGAAAAAAATTATCTTTTGTAGAGTTTTAATCAAAGATTGAATTGTAGTGTTCTAGAGAACACCTTCTGAACAACTGCATATACCATAATGCTGGCAGATCTTCAAGCATCTCCTGAAAGCTGCAGAAAAGTGTACTGAAATGAGCACAAAGTAACACGGTTTGGGATTTATTTGGTGGTAAAAAGGCAGCATGAAAAATTCATTGCTGAAAGTGATTATCAGTTACTGATACGCGTTTGAAGTGAAGCAAATAATTTCAAACGAGGACAAATGGCTAGCTCAACATAGTGCAAAATAGCTTATCTGGCATAAACCCAAATTCTGTCTAGAATGCAGTACATTATCTATTTTATCTCTGAACTTATAAGAGATACTATCACTGTTGCTGAAATTCTGCTTTTTGTCAAGGAATTTTTATTAGTATTTAGAAAGCAAACATGCTGGCTTTAATAGTACTGTGCGTTAACAAATATTTTTTGTAATTATCTACGTACCACTTTAACTAGAAGCTAAAGTAAGCCTGTACTTATGCTGTGTGAAAACATCAGTATGATAATCAGTATGATAATCCAGATTATCATACACTCACCTCAATCAAGACGGGGGTTCCCATTCTCGTCTGATTGTCCTCACTAGGGTACCATAAAAAGGCGAGGATTCCCGTTCTCGCCTTTTCCACCTTGCCAGGGGTACCTTAACCAGGTGGGGATTCCCGTTCTCACCTGGGCGACCTTGCTAGGGGTCCCCTAGACCAAGGGGGAGGCTTTACAAACCTCAGCAGTCCCACCACCACGAGGTAATTCCAACATGGCTGCTGCAAGAGCCCCGTTTTAAAGACTAATCAATGATGACTGTGGTCAATCATAGCTATCTCGGCTTCTCATTGGCTGCTGGCCAACTTCCTGGGTGTAACCGAGTCCTGACCAGCTCAGGTTCCACAGACAACTCCAGACTAGCCCAGGTCGCAGATTCCCTGAAATCTGCCTAGCAACAGCTCAGCTGGGGGAAGGAAACACCTGCCACAAATACATCACCAGCTATGTTTGTAAAGTCATCATAATAGCATAAAGACGGATATAGCTACATTAAATTTATAGAGGACGTAATGAATTCAGATCCCATGGGTATCCGAAGAGAAAGACACTTCCTAATCTTCCACCTACTCCTAGCCCAGTAAGTATCATAAAGACTTTTTGCCCAACTATTCCTAACCTTGAGAGTTTCAATTAATTGTGTATTGGTTGAAGTGCTTTTAATAAACACAAAATGCTTTATTGTATATGAAATTTCATCCAGCCTATATGCATCTAGAAGGAAGCACAATTACACGGAACAAAAAGTAGGTGGAGTTAAAAAAGACTGAGTAATAAAAATTGTTAAATGAGAGTCAAGATATACAAGAAAGGAAATACATCTGTGTATGAATTTTCAGTCTGTTTATTAGAGCGTGTGTCTGCATTCTATAATGGAACTGAAATTGGGGGCAGGGGAGAAGCGAAATAAGGCATGCTATTAGCTTAAGGCTTGTGGAAATAAGCTACAAAGCCAGAATAACTCATTAAAACAGTGGTGTAGTTCTATTGAAGCTAACTTTAGATTTTTTCTAGCTTCTTCACTGCCTAAAGTTCACATTAGTATTTTCTCACTCTTAGCTTCTTTCCAGAGCAAATATTTCCACAGGATTTCTGATAGCATCAGTGATAACTGATCCTAGCACAGGAACTGAGGAACAAAAGGGTTTGGATCAGAGATGTTGCCAAGGTTGTTTTTCCAAAG